TCCTCCTCCTCCTCCTTCTCCTTCTGCCTTTTGGCTCTAGCATAATAGGCACATTGCCTGGGGAGAAGGATTTATAAGAACTTAAAAGTTCTAGAAAGGCCAGTGAACCCCCAAAGGAATCAGCAGGCATGGCCTGGGGTGGAGCACCTGGTTACACTGAGTGCAGGGCTTTGGAGGCACCCCAACCTGAGCAGCTTGAGAGCGGATCCTTCTGAGCTTCAGTCACGTCTGCAGAGCCCAGATCCTGGGACTAACAGTCACAGCTTCGCGCTACCACTTTACGGCAAGAAACAGAGCTGTCCGAGGGCTTCCTGGTTTATAACCCCCTCCTCTTCTGAAAGCTCTGTGGGAACCTGGTTCTGAGGCCCGTGCTTCTCCTCAACAGCAGCAAGTTGGATGGTGTCATTTTGCAGTGACTGCTTTGTGCAGGGATTATCATAATTCTGCTGTCTGAAAAGAAAGATCAAGTCAGTCAGTTAGTTTCTTTAGCAAACAGTTATTGACTGCAGCTGTGTGCCACTTCTCCTACACAGAGCAGGAACGAGACAGGCAGGCGTTTACAGTGCTGAGCTGCACAACCTCTCCTCTCCTGAGGCTCTATTGTCTGCTCCCACCTGGAGGTGTGAGGTCGTCTCATTGTCCCTAAATGTTTAGGCTTTGTCATGTAAGTGGTGAAAATGATTTCTCAATGTAGTTCTAGTATGAAACAAGCTATATTGCCTGTAATATATGTAAGGACTATATTTTTAGAGATTTTATTTATGCATTGGTGTGTGTGTGCAGGTGTCAATGGAGGTCAGAAGTGGGATTCAGACCCCTTGGCACTTCTGATGTTTGTGAGTCATCTGATGTGGGTGCTGGAATCTTAACCACCACTGAGCCTCCTCATCAACCCAAGGACTGCATTTCTTAGGTGAACTATTTGTATACATATTTTACTCATCACTAATTTTCATTTTGTGCATTTCTGCTTTTTAACCCCTTTTTGTCTTAAAAATTGTCTTCATAGTTTATATTGTATTGATTAAAATAATAGTAATAATAATAAAGCGATTTACTTATTCACCAGTTGAATGCTTTTCTATTATTAGTTGTTAATTTCTCCTTGTCTTTTTTTTTTTTTATTAATTCTTCATTCTACTTTTGGGGGAGTTGTTGGTATTTTTCCAGCAGTTATTCAATTTATAACTATCATTTTCAAAGAATTCTGCAATTTTATTTTCTATTACTCTCCCTTTGTCCAATAGTTGTTGATAGTGTGTGTGTCACTGTTAATTTCCAACAATAACATGGCTGACAATATTTATCAATATTTCATGCATCTATAGGAATTATAGTCATATGATTTCTAATTTGAAAAATAATGAATTAATATTTTCTTTTCCAGCTACAAATTGTGGTTTTGAGCATTTACTAAACATAAGGCATTTCTCCCAAGAACTTTCTTTGCTTTTCTTTATGAAATTATTATATAGTTGCGTCATTTCTCCTTTTCTGCTCTCCCCTCTTAATCCTCCCATACACCTTTTCCTGTTCCCTTTCAAATTCATGGCCTCTTTCTCCATTAATTATTGTTATGGCATATATCTATATACTTATGCATCATAGGCATACACATTCCTGACTATAACCTGCTCAGTCTGTACGCTGTTACTTGCATGTATGTTTTCGGGGCTGAGCATTTGGTACTGCATTCTCAATCAATGCACTCTTTCCCCTGCTCCCAGCATTCCTTATCCTTAGTTGCCTATTGTTCTGTGTGCATTTGAGACTTCCCAGGTTCTGCCCATCGGCTCTGGCATGTCTGCTGGTGTCGCCCTTGTTTAGGCAGTCATGTTGGTGAGAATTTTTTGTGGCCTTCTGTTGACCATTCCCTCTTTTTATTCGTAGGTTATGAAATAATTTGGTCCATATAAAAACTTAGTTTAAAAACTAGTTCTTTATACAGGGTTTGGGGAGATGACTTAGTTATCTTAATAGGCACTTGCCATGCAAAAATAAGGACCTGACTCAGATTCTCAGCACCTATTTAAAAAAAAAAAAAACAAAAGAAAGGTACTGTGGCGTGTATCTGCAGGTCCCGCGTTGGAAAGGCCAAGACAGGATGGTTCCTGGAGCTTGCTGACTGGCCAATCTGTCTGAATCTGAGAGCTCCACGTTCAGTGAGAGACTCTGTCTCAGAAAATACCGTGGAAAGCAATTGAGCAAGATACTTTGTTGATCTGGTCTCTACAAGAACATACATACATGCATGCACACAAACACATGCATATGCATACATGTGATTATGTGTGCACACTCATTCACATACTCACATACTCATATAAAAAACATATTGAGGGATAGAGAGGTTCAGGGTTTAAGAGTGGCTTCAACTTTTCTGTAGGACTCAATTTCTGTTCCCAGCATCTATATTGGGTGGCCCACAAACCACCTGTAACAATTCCAGCTCCTGCATACCTCTCTCTGTCTCTCTCTCTCTGTCTCTCTCTCTCTCTCTCTCTCTCTCTCTCTCTCTCTCTCTCACACACACACACACACACACACAGAGAGAGAGAGAGAGAGAGAGAGAGAGAGAGAGAGAGAGAGAGAGGTCTAAAAGAAGTACATGTGTACCATAATGGTTGGGTTGTTCTTTCTGTGCATTTACTGTGCCGAACCGAGGTAATTAAAGGCTTCATACTTACAACATTGCCGTCTTTCATTTTTTTCCTCCTGTCTCCTACAGTCTCTACTTTATTAGAGTTGGCCATTATCAACAAAGTATCTTCCTCTTTATTTCTTTTTATCAGATAAATTTATTATGAAAAATTGTTCTTTCAATGTAGAGACAAGCTCTTTACATCATCAGAAATCGTACCAAGCTTTTCCTTTCATATTATTTTGTTTCATGTTTATAGAAACATGTGACATGCATAAGTAACCTTGTTCTTTGAATTTCTGTTTTATTTACTTTATTTCTGAACTGTTTATTGGTGTTGCAGAATGTTCAGTCATTTGGTCTGTCATCATTGTTACAATATATTCTCTATTCCCTCTTATCTATTGTCTACTCATTCTCTAGTCTAAATAATAGGATTTCCTAGAACCGTATAATTCTTCTCATATATTCCTCCTTTTCCCTTCTCACTGTCTAACTTGAAGTGAAATCCTTTTACTCCTAGCTTTCCCTTGTAAGTACGTACTCACATGAGACGACCAGCTCCCTAACTGCTTCCACAGGCTTTCTCTTTCTGTTAACTGGTTATGTTTATATTTTCAGGGCATCTAACATTAGATGCTGTTCTGTCACCTCAACCACATCATTTTGGCTTAGCTCTGCAGTTCGATGAATTTAAACATGTATTACCAGACTGCATGCCAAATGCCTCCGTTCTTCCAGCTCTGTGTCTGTTCATTCTACAGGAAGAGCTCATGGCAGTGGCCTTCCCTGGCTCCTTTAAAGTTTCTTGCTATTTATCTTTGGCCTTTATACTCAAAAGTCCTGTGTAGGTGGACAATAAATCAGTTTGTCCTCACAAAGACCAGCCCCAGCCCTAGCTTCCCCACATACTTAAACTTGGCCTTGGTGATGGTTTTTGTTTTTTGTTCATTTTCCATTTCTACTGTTACAAATAAATGCAAACTTAATAACTTAAAACTACAGAACTTTTATTCCTATATATCCCTGGAGGCCAGAAGTCTACAATCAAGGCACTGAAAGGGCTATATTCCTTCTGAGAGGCACTGGGGAAATTCCTTTTCTGGCATTGGCAGGGGCTCATGTTTGGAGGTACTCAGCCTGCCAGATTTTGTTTTATTCTTAGAAAAATTTTACAAACCAACAATGCAGTGGAAAATAGACTTTCTGCAGGCTTGAGAGAGACCCTTCAGACTTCCCACTCTGCGCTCTCCATCTGCCCCTAAGTTTGTAATGTTAGTCACAGGCTTCACTCAAAGAGTGAGACTCTAGGCTGAGCGTTTGAACTCATTTCTTGCTGGACTAGAAAGATGAATTGGTGGTTAGGGGCGCTAACTGCAATTCCGAACACTTTCAAGGCAACTCACAACCATCTGTTTCCCCAGTTTCAGGGAGATCTAATACCTACTTCTGACCTCTGAAGACTCCTGTGTGGTAAACATACATATACTCAGGCACATATACATACCAATAAAAACAAAACCCTACCTCCCTGGCGATTATCAAAGAAAAGAAAGCTGAGAATTCTGCCCTGTGTCTTGTTGGTACCCACCAAGTAGGGTGACAGGAAGGATACTTGTTGGCACCCAGCTGGGAGGTGGTGAAACTCAGGGCATCTCACTCCAGGCTAAACCCCTGGTAATGTATGCCTTCTTCACTTCCTGGCACAGCCTCTGAGGGTCTTCTTGTATTTATTAATAACCTCAAGTCACTGTCTCTGTGATCTTGCTTGGGAATAGAGTCTTAACAGTCTGGAATTAGAGGAAACAAATAACAGTGATTTTACCCGTGTATATATCTTAGTCGTCCTTTGAGGGCTGTCCCAGAAAGCATCTGCTAAGTATGCTCTCTCCTCTGTTCAGCTCTTTCTAACTCTCAGAATCATGTGTTTTCTCAGTGCAGTCCTCCTCGGTGATGGGATGATGTTCAAGTCAACATCAGAACTCTAAAGTCTGCAGTTGGTCGTATCATTAGAAATTATTGAATAAGATACAGAAGCCAGTGTTTAAGCTTTTATTGATGCATTTGAATGGCAATGGACAGACAGCAGAGATAAAACATCTCTGAGAACCCCTGAAAGCCGAGGGGAACTCAGTGCAAAGAGATGGCCCCTTCCTTGTCTTCCTGTTTCCGACAGTGCAGAGCAAAGCAAGCAAGAGAAGCGAGTTTGGACGAGAAAGCACCCTGTAGAAATGATCACTGAGAAAGAACCAAATGAGAAGAAGCATGGCTTTCCATCAATGTTCCAGGGTAGGGCAGAGCAGGGTAGGCTAGTCTCATGCCGGCTGTCTTTTGGTACTGGGCACTGGAGTCAGAAAAGTCATGGCTGGTCTGTCTTCAAATAGGAATATAGTCCCTTGGCTGTGATTCCTTTCTTCTCCCCTTGTATCTGTGCTGTATCCTGGCCCTGAGCTGAAGAAGCAGGAGCGTGTCGGCTACCTGGATCCTGGCTTCGGATCACTATTTCCCTTGTGTGGTCATTGACCCACTCATCTCTAATGACAGTGGGTGTGCTCTCCCTCTGCCCTCCCTTTGGACCCAGGTGGCTGCTGCTAGAGTCTTGTCTTCCTTTCGCTGTGCTTGTCTCAGTCCGGACCTGGCCTCCGAGCACTGGCTCTTCTGTCTCACAGTTGCTTACTGGTGTCCAGCCTTGCCCCATACCTGACTGTGTCTGGGTCTGTCTCTTTTCTGGAGCCCTTATCTGTCTTGCAGACTGGTTCTCATCATGCTCCAAAGTCTGAGAATATGATCCTACCTGCGTCTGGAAGTGTCCTGTCCCTACCTGTCCTGTAGGACTGCTGTCTTGTCCATAGATCTCAGTCATTCTGTTTTGGTCATGGATGGACCCATGTGTTTGCATGCTGTTTCCTTCCTGCAGGCTCCTGCCTTGTTCCCTCATCTGGGTGTGTGTCTGAGTATATGACTGTGCCTGGTGGTGGTCTTTAGCAGCCTGGCCCACTTGGTTTCTATCTTGACTGTGAGTCTCAGTCTCTCTGTTCCGGTCATAGATGGATCCCTGTGTTTGGACTCTGCTGCCTCTTGTCTGCTGCCTACAGCCCTGTTCTACCATCTGAGTGTGTATCTGGGTATGAGACTCTGCCTGTGTCTGGTAGTGTTGTGTAACATCTTGGTCTTCCTGAATCCTGTCTTGGCTATGCCTACTAGTCCCTCTGTCCTGGCCACAGTTGAATCCCTGTGTCTGGAAGGCACCTTCTTGGGTCTGAGTTGTGGTTCCAGCTGTGGTCTCCTCTGTCTGCTGGCTAACCTGTGACTGCCGCTCTGACCGCCTCTCTCTGGTCCCACTCTTGTCTTCTGTCCTCGGGGTCTGCTCCACCTGTCGAGTTGCTTGTGTTTGCTGGTTTACCATCTCCTGTCTCTGAGACTCAGCCTCCCGGTCGTGACTGCTGATCTGTGCAGGGTAGCTGTCCTGATTCTGGGTGTGTGTCCCCACCCTGACCTGTTCCTTAGACGCCTGATCCCTCTGTCCACGGCTGCTGTCCTCACAGCTCTGCTCTCCTCCATCTCTTCCCACTCCAGTGCCACCTCTCTGGCCTTGCTCCAGCTCTTTCCCGGATCCAGGATAGCAGCTTTCAGATCTGTCAGACATGCAGGCACCCCTAGGACTCTCACTCAGCGTCTTAAAGCAGGCCCGAGCAACTTTAAACACTAAGACCAGGAATTCCTTGAACTCCACAGCCCCTGTGTTATCCTCATCCAGCAGGCGCAGGACTTCATCCACAGTCGAGGGATCATGGGGGTTCTGGGGGAGAAATGAGGCCAAGTCAGCATTGCTCCTCTAAGGAGAACTCGGTCAGCCATTGCACTCTGCTTCTAGGCTCCCTCCCTGCACTGCAGACTGGGGACTCTCAGACCCCAGCGCCGCCCACAGCATCACAGTGTAATGTTTTGTTATTTGTGTTTTTTGCTGTATCATCTCTCTTACTCAAGGACAGGACACACTTTTTGTTTTATACATCCTCGATTTCAGATCTGCAGGATGATCAGCTGGGTAAAGATGCCTTGGAGAGGGAATGCGTGTGCTTGTATGCAGCTATCTGGACTCCTGGCTCCTTGTGGCTGCCCTTGCCACTTTGACCCTGGCACCAACCCTACCTGAAACACAGCAGGCGCCTGGCCCCACAGGAATCCAGAGAGCTCCTGTGATGGGGAATCCTATCAGAACAACAGGATGTTCTAAGCATGTAGGCACAATCCTAGTGTGCCGGACTTTGTATCTAAGGGCTTCATTATTCAGTCTACTTTAGATGTTAACTGAAAGCAGAAATGTGCATTAGGGCTGTGGTTCTGGTTTCCTGGGTGGGATTGTTCTCTTGGAGTCCCTGTACCCACGGTTGTTCAGAACTAGTGCTCCAAAATCTCATTTTTGACCCCACTAGTGAGCTAATGTTTTTAAGAAGCTTTGTGCAAGCAGTGTCTTAACGAATGCTAATAAGCAATCACGTTGCAGACGGTGTAGGAAATGTTACTGTGTCAGGTTTGAGAAACGACTACTTTCCCCTCTAATCCATTTGAAGAGTCTGTTCTTGCCTGGGGGAGTTTCCTTGCCTTGTCTTGAAATTAAACTTAATTTAAAGAGAGAATTGAATCCAAGAATCTGTCCTTTCCCTAAGGATGAGGAGGTGTCGCCTGCCGTGACCTCTTTCCCTCCATGTCCTTTATGTTGGCCTGCACAGCTACCGACAGAGTTAGCAGGCTCGAATTCGGCTGCTTGCTCTTTACACCCCCAGGTAAAAGCCCTTGCAGGTAAACACACTTTGACTGTCCTTAGCGTGTTTCTCCCTCTTATCCACACATATCATACCACTATGACGTCAGCAAACTCATGTTCCAGGAGCCTCTTCAGCTCCCCCCGCGTGAGCACTTTGCAGCCGCCCTCTGACCTGGCATAGCACCCGAAGGCTTCGATGATCCCGTGAATGTTTTGCAGCAACTGAGGCATCTGTGCAGCTTGCTGGAAGATATGAGAAGTCCCTTGTATGGGCGCCATAGTCATCTCAGCCCCTGCTGTTTCCTCACAGTATTCTGTGGGTCACTCCTTTCTTTGTGTCTTCAGCTGCATTTGGGCTTTCTCTACCTCCCTTCATCTTCTCCTCAAAATGGACTTTGTGGTGGGAAGAAGGAACCCCCAGGACTTGGGAGGAAGTTTCTGAATCAACATTTAATGCCAGGCTTCACCTCCTACCTGGTGTGAACTGGACCAAGATCTTTGCTATTCTGAGCCTTGGTTTATTCACTGAGTGAAGCCAATACTTAGCACTTACTTCAGAGAATTATCATAAAGGCTTTAGAAGATAATGCATAAAAGACACCCTGCTGATGCCTGGTTTTCTGCTAAGTGGTAGCTATTAAGTATCATCATCATCATTATTACATACATATACACGGATATAATTTGTGTACAGCCATAGACCCTGAACTGCTCACAAAGCACTTTCCTGTGTAACAGCTGATGACCCTCCCCATCACTAGCATTTTCACAGGCAGGGAAAAGGGCTCAGAACAGGTAGATTTGTGAAGGCCACACATTATTTTCTTTTAACCCATATGCAATTAGTTCTTCGGCATATACCTTTGGATGGGTTTCCTTTTTGCCTGTTTCTAGCACCCTACTGGGAACATGAAAAGGTGGTAAGTACACACAGGGGTTAGCCCCTCTTTTGACTTGAAGCTCCCCAGAATCTCCAAGGGTCTAACTCTACCCTCCTGACTTCCCTTGAGAAGGGACTTGGGAAGAAGGTGGGATACACCTGTTGGGAACACTAGGGCTAGGGGGTACCTTTCTAGTGCCAAGATGCTCTGCATTTGCTCTCTGCCCTCAGTCCTGGAACCTGTCAGAGAGGTCAGCCTCTATAAAAGATACATGCTCCATCAAGTCTAAAGGGCTGGTGACCTGTGATGGATGGGTCCCAGTCAAAGGCAAAAAAAAAAATCATTTCCATTAAGTGGGTGAAGGTGAAGATGGGTGTGGCTGAATGGGCAAGAGACATAGATGTGTTAAACAGAAGACTTGGGGAGACCAGAAGGAGGGGAGGTGCTAAAGATGATAGGGTTGAAGTACAAGGGAAGATGGAAGTTTGCAACTTCTGGAAAACCAGGGAAGAGACCTTGGAGATGAAGAGAAGGACTGTACTGGTGGGGGAGAGGATGGCATAGGTAGAGAAGCAAGGAGTGAGGCCAGGAAGGAGACATAGTCCAAGAAAAAGCAAATGAGTGTGGTTGGAGAACTGAGGACCCCAGGTGAGCTGGGCAGGGACAACTTTTCTACTGACCCAGGAGTCGGTAGCTTAGACTCTTCCCTCTCTGTGCCTCAGGGCATAGAAGTTCAAGTATCTCTCTTAACACAGATGGATGCCCCCATCCCAGGTTTTAAAACACAGTTACAGTCTCTGATCCCAGCCTATAAACAGCGAAAAGAACAAATATCCTTTTAGTGATGATTCAGATCATTAGAATAAATTCTACAAATTCATCTTGCCTAGGTATAAACTTAGAGTCAGGAAAGAAGTTCAAATTAGCCCCTTCCTCAATAACACAATGAATTTTTTGTCTGGGTTGGCAGAAACAAACTGATCTGATTCCAGGGGCTCCGAGCATTGCAAAGAACCTTCCAGAATCTTAGGGGGAAAAGTTATGCTGGTCCAGGAAGGTGCGTGGGTGGTGGGTGGCTCCAGTGCTGCTGCCCTCACCATCCAGTGAGAAGAGCTGCAGGCTAGCGCCAGGAGAGGAGAAAGCGGATTGCCTCAGAAGCACACTTTTTCCCAGGTGCTCTGGCTTCAGCCTGCCAAGACTCTGCGGGGGCCCTTCCTGCCTCCAGCTAGGCATGGACACCTGCCAGCTCAGATCTGACTGCCCTGGATTCATGAGCTCAGCCTGCCAAGACACTGAGAATGAGCAAGAAGTTCTTCTGGAGGGAACTTACCTAGTGCCCAGGCAGGATGGGACAAGTTTCTGTTAAGCAGTGTGTGGAGGACTTGTCAGTGGGACAAGAACCTTTTATAGAGGATTTAATGGCACTCAGATGTATTTTAGACAGGATGTCTCCACCCTACAAGAAGGCTTGATTCATCCTAGGCTCAGCCCAGCCCAGCCCCACCTCCCTTCCTCTCCAGCTCACCTTCTGACCGAAGGCTGCTTCTGTTTAATTACAGGCCCTTTCTACCACTGTTAGAATTGTCTCTTGTTGTGTCTTTCTTCTTAGGACTAGGAGGCTTCTTCCGATGAAATGGGCTCAGCAGTACTTTACACAGGCCTGAGATCCTGTGGGATACTATGCATCTCCAGGAGCCTGCAGAGTCATAGAACTCTTGTTTCTTTATCCAAGTACATATCTGTTCATAAAGATTATTCTTTTCAAAGCTTTTTCCCCTTTACTTTCTGATACTACTGCTGTTACTTAGACACATTCTAAGTTCTTATTTTGGGACTGCCTAGTTTATGAGTGTGTGTCTGCATGCATTTGCACACATGTATGTACACATGCATGAAGGCTAGAGGTAAACCTCAGATGTTGTTCCTCAGGTACTTTCCACACTGCACATTCTTTTTCTAAGGCAGAGTCTCTCACTGGCCTGGAACTCACCCATCAGTCTAGGATGGCTGGCCAGCAAGCTCCAGGAATCTGCCTCCGTCCGCTTCCCCAGTGCTGGGATTGTGAATATGCACCACAATACCCAAAGCTTTTATTCTGGATTCTGGAGGTTGAGCTCAGGTCCTGTGCTTTTTCAGTTAAATACTTTATCAGCTGAGCTATCCTCACCCAACACATGCCAGATGCGGTCTCAGTTTCTATTTATTTATTTATTTATTTATTTTGCATCCCAACAGCAGTTTCTCCTCCCTCCTCTCCTCCCAGCTCCTCCCCTACCTCCGTTCTACACCCCCCCAACTCCTCTGTTTTTATTCAGAAAAGGACAAGCCGCCCATGGATCATGACAAAGCATGGCATATCAAGTTGCAGTAAGACTAAACACCTCCCCTTATATTAAGGTTCAACAAGGCAACCCAGTATGGAGAATAGTATCCCAAAAGTCAGCAAAAGAGTCAGAGAAAGCCCTGCTTACATTGTTAGGAGTCCTGCAAGAGGACCAAGCTACATAAATGTAACATATATGCGAAGGACCTAGGTCAGTCCCATGCAGGCTCCCTGGTGGTCGGTTCAGAATCTGTGAAATCCTTTGAGTCCAGGTGAACTGATTTTATGAGTTTTCTTGTGACATTCTTGGTGGTTTCAATTTTTATTCAAACAACAACAAAACCCACTTTCTGCCCTGAAAAGGCAGCATTTTACAGCTGGTGAGAGAAAGACTGAACATGATCATGCCCGGTCTTTCCACTAAACAGTAGGAACCTAGTGGCCCTGTGGCTAGGAGAGGCAAGACCAAAGGAAAGAATTCTTCCTCTTACTGATTTGTTCAAACCCCCTTTCTCCATGCTTCAGAGCAATATCTAAGGTGAAAGTGTCAGTGAGTTTGGCCTGGGTGGGTCGCTGAGCTTTCACGGTAGTGACACCTTCCTCTGGGTTCTCTCCGGCCCTATTTCATTGTCACTGTCTCAGGGCCACAAGAAGAATATAATGGTCTGTGTACATGCTCACACTGGCACGCTCACATGCACACACATGCACACATGTGTACACACAGGCACACACGTGCACACACGCACACATGTGCGCGAACACAGGAACACACACGCACACACATGCACACATGTGTGCACACACATGCACACATGCACATACGCGCAGACACGCACAGTCACACACACGTGCACACACGCGCACACATATGCACACATGCATACACACGCACACACATGCACACAGGCACACACACACACACACACACACACACAGGAGGCCATTGTAGACAGCTTGGTGGACTCAGCATCATTTGTTAAGTCAGTCTCTCCAATGCAGTGTCGTCTGCGTCACCCGTCAGGTCACCTGGAGTGTGATCTGGTGTGAAGACTCACCAGGGCTTCTCTTGGGCTGAGTGGCAGCTGACTTCTCACAATGAAGATTCTTGAGTGGCCTGAATTTCTGTCATCATAGCAGCAACCACGAATCCATCCCTTCCTGAAAGCCTGCTCGCCAGACGTTTCACGCGCTGAGCAATGCACAATGGTGAAGTGGGGGTGGCTGGAGGGTGGCCACTCATGCTGTACCCCAAAGAAACAGACAATGTTAATTGAATTTGCTGGAAAAACCCCCACATTTTGAAGATATTCTAAGCACTGCCCAATTATTAACTCCATGATTGCCAAGTTAGAATACAGTGAGAGCCAAAATGACCTCAGGCTACCTGTAGTACTTCAATAGCCATTTATCCTACACCTGTGTGTCTGAATTAACACCATCTTGACTTGTAGATTAAACTTGGAATATATTGCTAAGCTTGACATGTCTAGCTTATACCAGCTCAGAAGATAAGGATGTCATCAGATCACATCCAATACTTACAGCAGAGATTTACCTGACCTGTGGTCACCAACCTGCGTGGTGTCCCATCAGTATGTCCAGCAAGTGTGATTTGTGACTACCTTTTGTTCTCTGTCTGTAAAATGTTCATATAACTTCCATGATGGAGCATGCTGCTCAAGGCACCCTGAATTGGTGCTATCGCGTCATGGTCGTGTTTAAGAATAAACTATTTCCTTTGGAGCCAAAGTTGATTTATGTCTAAAACCAGAACATTTATGATTCTTTTCTTCACCTTGGAGAAAGAGTCAAACATTTCTGCCGAGTAGAGGGCTGTTTCCAGAACCAGCTTGTATGAAGAGAAATTTGATGGTATTTGTTGCCAACACATCCTAACCGAAAAGTGACAGAGACGTGGTTCTTGGAACAGAAACAAAACAGTCAACAGTTCTGGGCCTCCATGATCCTCTCACCAATTGAATCCTTATCTCCCCAAAGCTCTCTGTAAAGAACACCCTGGAAAC